GTTGCTGTGCTAGCTCTTTTGACTGTGAGACATTTCTATCTTCATATCCCATGGGTGTTTCAAACTTAACATGTCCAAGACATTGCTCATTATCTTCCCCACTAAGCCTCGTCTCCTCCAAACTTCTCTGTTTCTATTAAGGATGCCACCATTTTGCCAGTGACTCAAATTCCAGTCTCAGAACCATTATTTTCCCCTCTTCTCTCATTCCTCCTTATCCAATTGGTTGCCAGGTCTACCACCACAAGATAGCTAACATCTGCCACCTTCTGTCTACTTATATAGGCCACCAACTAGTTTAGGGCCTTAATACCTCTCCTTTGAATTCTTCCTGGTCTCCCTGCTTCCACTGTCTTCCCTCTTCAATCCAACCTTCACACAAGTGCAAAATTAATCTTGCTAAAGCACAAACTTGGCTATGTCACTTACCTGTACGAAGGATGTCACTCACCTATGCAAACTCCTCAGCTTGACATTTTCACAGTCCACATCCAGTCTACCTGTCCATGCTTATTTCATTTTATTCCATATCTTTAAACACTTCATTTTGTTCAAATAGTTCCAATTATTTTCCCCTAACTTGGAAGTACCTTCTACCATCTCTGTGCCTTTGCATAGGCTTCCCCATGCCTGAAATGTCCTTCCTGCCTTATCCCTGCCCCTTTGAATCCCTCTCTACCTTCCAATTTCAGCTTCTGTACCACTGGAAACAGGAAACCTTTTCTGATTCCTACTAGTCATTATCATTTCCTGAAATTTACTTCAATTTACTTATCTGCCTATTTTTTTTTGTATCCTCAGTAGAATATAAATACTCTGAGAGTAGGAAATGCCTTACTTCCATCTTTCCTTTCTTTTTTAAATAGTCCTAGAACCTAGCATGATAGCTTACACATAGTAGACATTTAATACTTTTAAAATTGAAGATAATGTTATATTCAACAAAAGAAACTGTCTTGTGGGTGGGTAAGTGAATTTAGGGCTAGGTACTTTTTTCACCTAGATTTGCATTTGTGTCCAGGGGTTCTGTCTCCCTGTCCTATCTCCAGGCCAAAGTCTCTCCTCTCAATTGGATCCATACAAGTTGGGGTTAGCTTTTTTTTGTTTGTTTGTTTGGCAACGGGGTTAAGTGACTTGCCCAGGGTCACACAGCTAGTGTCAAGTGTCTGAGGCTGAACTCAGATCCTTCTGACTCCAGGGCAGGTGCTCTATCCACTGCACCACCTAATTGACCCCCAGGGGGCTAGATTTTAAAGGAAGAGTGGTCACCATAGTCTGCTTGGCCTAAGGGAAACTTCAAGTGTCCTAACAAGGTCTACGGGGGACATAATTTACAGACGTTCTAGGTTTGGAACTCTGTCAGGACCACAGTTAGGCTACATTAGATTTCAGAGGGAGGTACCAGACAAAAGACCATAGGATGGAATGAGAACGTGGAAAGTCTCAAGGAATGGGGTTGGGGTGGAAGGGATGAGTGGTTCTGTGGTGTTCCCTACTTCAATCTCAGTTCACAAATGCCTTTGAATAGGTGCTGAATGTGCAAACTTCCCTCCATCTCTCTTGTTCCTGTGTGTATTTGTGTGGGAGAATGCTCAACATTACAAACAGGACACATGAACTAAAACCCCTACCTTCTACTATTAAACAGTTGGTGAAACTTGAGGCACTATGTAAATGTCAGTAATTATTATTGTTGATCCTTATTATGGCCAGATTTGGGGAATTAGAGGAATAATACAAAGGGACGGTCCTACTCTCAAGACTGATCGTAAGGGTTCAGGGGTGGGGAACCTGAGGCCCTCTAGGTTCTCAAGTGGCCCTTTGACTGAATAAATAAAAGGATTTGTTCTGTAAAACTTGGACTCAGTCAAAAGGTCACACCAAAGGACCTAGAAGGCCACAGGTTCTCCACCCCTTAAATGATCAGTCTGTGTGAAAAGTGGAGCTCTTTGGAGGTAAGAGTCTCCCAGTATCACCGTCCTTGTTACAATCCTCACCTTGTAGCTACTGAGTTGTTATACATTGATTATATATCCTCTATATCTCAGACTTTATTAGATTGTGAGCTCCTCTGGGGCAAGGAATATCCTTTACCTTTTTCTGTATCCCCAGCACTTAACACAGTACTTGACACACAGTAGGTTCTTAATCAATGTTTATTGACTGACTGACTGACTCAAACCTACCACCATTCCTTAGGACAGTATTTCAGGCCAAGCAGCACAAACTGATTACAGGAAGCCAAGTCTGGCAGCTGCACAAAACTTAATGCGGATGTTTCCATCTTTTTAGTTTGCAATTATTTTACCTTTACTTCCCAACCAGTATCATCCTCAGCCTCCCTCCTCTAAAAGAAAACAAAACCAACCAAACAAAAAACTCTCCACAAAAAACTTGACTCTCTTTCAATCCATTTACAAATCTAAGAAGAAAGCTGAATTTGGCTAGTGGAGGATTCTTGGGTAGGAAAAATATAGAATTCTAGAAAGTTCAGATTCAAGATATTGGACACAGGTACGTGTTGTGGCAAACTGCCTAGGCTAGAAAAAAAAAAGAAACATTAAAAATCCCTGGAATGTCTTCTTTGTTTAACTAAATATTTTGGCATTGGTAACACTTAGTTTTGCATGCTTTCCTACCACTTTTCTCTTATTTGAAAAAAAAAGTTCCTTTGAAAAGATTTAGCTACACAGCTCTACACAGTTGCCAGATAAATTTACTTTTAATTTAACTTGAGGGTTTCCAGAATTTCTTTTTGGCCAGGTGGATCAGGTCAAGAAAAAAAATCTACAGAATAATATGGGAAGCCGTGTCTGGGCTTCTGAAGCAGCTCTTGAGTCAAAATCTAAATCTAGAATCTGAGAACCACTGCTCCCACAGCAGGGCCCTAACTTCCATATTTCTCCATTTCTAAGAGAATGTGCCATTTTTTTCTTTGCATCTCAAGTACCTAGCACAGTGCATAGCTCATTGTTGATGCTCAATAAATATTTATTGAATTTGAATTTTAAAAAGCCTCAGTCCCAGTTACTCCAAGAAAAGACAGGTTAAGTAAGAAGACAATGTTTAGGAGCATGTAAGGGGATTTTTTTTATCCAAAAAGGAAAGGATATTTACAGAAAGAAGAGGTCTGAGGGTATTTCTAGGAATTTCCACCCAGTTAATCCCAAATCACCATCTCTTAAACATAGCTAATTTAGGCGATATTTCACACATTTTGTTTTAAAGAGGAAACAAAACTCTATTCACTCTCATCACCCTGCCAAATTCTGACCTTTAAATGCACTTCTTTAATATAAACTTTAATGTACCAGCTCTTCTCTAGACTTCCCCAGGTAAAAGTTGGTCCTTGGAGGAAAGACAAATCCCTCTCCCTTGACATATTGGTATAGATGAGATTATCAGATCACTTAGCTGTGACCTTGGAAAATATCAAGTCTAGGACAATGGGGCATATTGAATGGGGGGGTGGGTTTAGCAGTGGTGCACCGGGCACTGGATAAGCATAGAAAAATCCTAGTTGTTTTCTTTTCAGCTTGGTTCAAAGCCAATGCCTTAAACAGAAACCTTTCTCTCTTCAATATAATACCTCTAACTCAACCCAATTTCCAGAACTAGGGAAAAGTCAAGAAAAAGTGAGAAGTGATATCTCACTCCAAATAATGCCAGTCATTTCAGGTCCTTGGGAAGAAAGTCCCATCATTGTGTTTCTAACACATGTATATACCCAAGTATACCTGATTGGGAGAGGGGGAGAAGAAGGGTAGGGTAAACATTGAGTTGTAAATAGCGTGATTAAAATATTAAAACAAACATTTCTGAGGCAATCATAACAAAAGAAGCAATATGCTGTGACAGACAAGTTCACTGGGGTAATGTGAGGGAGAGAAGCACAGGTTTAAATCTCACCTCTGACACTTGTCGGCTTTGTGCTAACAAATTGATGATGCTCTCTGAGCATCAATTGTACTCATCTGTAAAATGGAGATCATATTTAGAACTGCAAATTTAGAAGCCATTCGGACCAATGCCATTTTACCAGAGGAAGAAACTCAGGTGATGAGACTTACCCAAGGTAAACACCTACCTATCGTGGCTTAAAGAGATTATGTATGAAAAGTCTTTTGAAGGTGATCTTTTCTGTGTCCGGTTGTTTGGGAAAAGGTTGAAGCACAGAGCATTTCAGGAGACTTTATTAGCCCCAGAAAAATGTAAGGAATCGGTCCTGCAGTAGAAGTGAAAGGAAGAAACTGGTATCACCAGAATTCTCCTTCCGTTTCTTTAAGGTTACGGAAACAGTGGGTAGTGCCAGAACTTTATTTTTATTGTTGCTATTCTTATTATCATTGCCATTATCATTATTTTGAATCAGTGCTGTTTTACTTCCTTTGTAAGAAATGATGGGACTTTTCAACAGGTAGACTGCTTTTAAATCCATGGTCACCTCGCCTGCGTTAGCGCCTAAACATCCTTAGGTGAAGGATCTGAGGTGGGGGGCTTGAGGGTGAGGGAAGAAGAAGGGAATCATTGGTGGATTCGGCCCCCTAAAAATTGTTTGTCTACAAGCACTGGTAAAGGAATTAAGTAGGTTGCGACCGGTAAGGAAGCTGACCTTCCGGGATGAGCTACCTGTTTACGTAAACGGCACGTCTTTTGAACAGAAACACAGTAAGAGAGCGTAAGATTTCCCAAACGATCGTCACATGAATCTGTCTACCTGTTCCCGCACATTTGATTGCGTTTGCCGCCACTTAACACATTGTTACTGAGAAGGTAAAATGCAACTGCCGTTATTCCTGGATTTTCTCCTTCGTTTTTGATCCACCACTGGTTGCTTTCCTCATCCACTCCTAACTGCAACTGTAAGAAAAGTGGGTATTTTACCTTCTTAAATCTCGGTAACCAGACGCCACGAACAGAACAGACACATTTTTCAAATGAGTACTTAAGTCACACCCAAGTGCTTTGAAGAAAATAGTCATTTATTGTCAAAGCATCCAACATACCCAGATAAACTATAAAGTTTGATAAATCTTTGGAAGGGGGGAAAAGAAACACGTAACTATGCATACTTCGTTTCACTGGCACAAAATTACACTTTGTATTAAAAGGAAATACATATTTACAGAATCGATGACATTCTTCATGGAAGTCCTGTAACTATTTCATGACACATGCACTTTCCCCTGGAAACTTAAACCAATCCCCCCTCCCCATTTTTCCAATTGGTTTTTTGCTTGTTTGCTTTGTAGGAACACAAACCGTAATCGCGTAATGCAGAAGCCTTGCATTCTTCTCTGTGCACTTTATATCTAAAATAAAAATTTGCCCTTCCATATAATTATTACATCTAAATCGTGTAAGTGCTTAATAATTTAAGTAGAAACGTATGACAAATGCATCAATATGTTGCAATATATGACATTTTAAAAAATGTATTCTGGGGGAGTGAAAACGCGTGCATTAAAAAAACCCACAAAAACAAAACAAACCCCCGAATAATAAAAACCCACCACCCTCTCCGACTCAGATGTCTATTTCCGGGTGTGGTTTTGGTGCAAGTAAACATCGGAATGGCAGATCATGTCTCTGGGTCCCATTTGGGGGCCCTTTTGCCCCACACTGCGCGCGTGTGTGAGAGAGAGCGTGTTTGGGAGAGAGGTGAGGCAGAAGATGGAGGGGGTGAGTTTCATTCGTGCAGCTGGCTTTCCTCGTGTGCGTAGAGATCCCGCGGACTGCCTGGTTCTTCCATTCCATTTCAATTATGCGAGGTCATGTGCCTCGACAAGTGGTGGCGCTCCCTGAAGGATTCGTTGCAAATGGGGCACTTGAGTTTCTCCTCCCGCCGTCTCTTCACCAGAGGCTCCATCGCGTACTCCTTTTTGTGGTGGGACCGCATGTGGTACACCAGGTCGGAAGTCATGCGGAAGGAGGCGTTGCATTTGGCGCACCAGTTCTGCGCGGGCAGGCAGAGCGACGTGAAGGATGGAGGCAGCAGCGTGAGCGCCGAAGGCAGCTGCAGCTGCAGGGGTCCCGCGGCGGCCGCCGAGCTCTTGGGCCAGAAGGTGGTGGCGTACAAGAAGGGGCTCTGTTTGGGAAGCCCCCCGCCGTTCTGCAGCGGCGCGCAGGCCCCGTTCAGGTCCGCCGCCGCGCTCTGAAGTTTCACTGCCAGAGGGTCTGCGGGGTACAGTCTGGTGGGGCCCACGCCGTCCCCGGGATGGCATGGCTCCAACGAGGCCAGCTTCTGGCCCAAGACCAGGGGAGGCATTTGGGAGAAGGCGCGCGCGGGCTGCGAGAAGGCGCTTTTGCGTTCGTCGGGGACTGCGCCCTGGCCGGCCCCTGCGCCGGCGCCCGATCCTCCGCCGCCCGCGCTCCCGCTGCCACCGAGCTGTGGCACCGTGGTGAAGGCGCTGCCCCGGGCCGGGCTGGCTCCCTCCAGACGGGCGGACAGCGGGCCCCCGGGCCGAGCTCCCAGGAGCTTCTCCGGGCCCGACGGCGAAGAAGAGGAGGAGGAGGAGGAAGACGCGGGGGAAGAGGTGTTGCCGGCCAAGCCGCCGGCTCCCGCGCCCACATCCTTGTCCTCTCCCGCGCTCGTAGCCCCGTCGGCTGCTTCCTCCTCCTCCGGCAGGAGCCCGGAGCTTCCCCCGACGGCCCTGGAGGCCTTTTTCACCTCCACGAAGGCGCTGCGCTTGGCCTCGCCGGTCTCCGGACTGGGGGGGGCGAAGAGGCGGCCGTTTTCCTCCAGGCCGAAGTAGCTGCCCGTCGCGCGGTACTGCTGCTGCGGGGTGCACACTAGGTCCTCCTTGGAGGCCGGCTGGGGCCGCTCGGCAAAGCGGCCTCGCCCCCCCCACCAGTACCACCCCGCCGCGGCTGCCTTCCTCCGGCTCCTCTGGGTATTTTCTCTTGGGTTTGATGCCGCCGCCGCCGCCGCCTGCACCCCCGCTGCCCCCACTCGGCGTGGCGGGGTGCAGAGCGCAGGTGGCGTTACCGTTTGGGCTCAGCTCCACCTCCTGGTGGCCGCTGCCGCTGCTGCCGAGTCGGCTGGCCAGACTTCGGGGCGGGGAGCAGCTGCGGCCCCCGCGGGAGTTTTCCAGCTCTCGGGCGAGGTTGTGGAAATCCGTAGACGGCTTGACGCCGCTTCCCGCGCCCGGCGCAGAGGGGTTGCTGCCGTCCTGGGACGCCTGGTAGTGGTGGATGGGGATGGGAGGTGCTTTGCAGTACTTGGGCCCGGCTCCCAAAGTAGCCTCGTGCTGCTGCGGGTCCTCGGCCACGCCGCCTCCGCCGCTGTCCCCGCAGCCTCCACCTCCGCCGCTGTGCTCCTTCGTGCAGCCTCCCCCGTCCTGCTCGTGGTGGGAGCTGGTGTCGGCGCTGTGCAGTCTCTTGGGGCAGCGGAAGCGCAGGTGCGCCACGTAGGGGAACTCGAACTGGAAACGCTGGCTGCAGTCCAGGCACGTGTAAGGGGGAGACCCTGTAGCAAGCAGACACATGTGCACACACACACAGAAGGTTTTACTCTTGTCACCCGGCGCCAGTCTGGCAATCCTAACCCTTGCACTTATCCGCCTGCCTCTTTTCAGGTTCTGGAGAGTAAGGTCTGTATGTAACCTAATCAGACCACCCTTCCAGCCTAACTCTTCCTTCCCCCTTAGTAATTGATCCAGCAATTAAGTTACATTGCCTACGTCGCAGCCAACCGTCCTCACCTGCGGCCTACCTTCATTCGGGGCTACTTCGCACTGGGGACCTACAACAGACCTTCCAGAAAAGCCTCCATTGCCGAGGGCGTGGGCTTCTCTGCAGTGAGTTTCAAGGTTGACGGGCTCCCTCCTCCCTCCGGCTTCTGTCCCCCAAGGCTCCAAAGGGGCCAATGATTTGGGTAGACTGACAACCTACCGTTCATTTTGCTGTGGGGTCTGGAAGAGCAGAGCAAAAGAAGATCGGTCAGATCCTTCCCATACCAGACAAGCAGCTCCTCGTCTTTGGCAATCCTTCGAAGGGATCGGTAAAATAACTGGCCGTTTTTGATGTAGGCTTCCAGGTTCTGCTCTTCTTTATCTCTGGCTGATTGAACCAGGCGAAGCCACATTAGACCTTCCGACGAGCTGTTTGCTGCTGAGGTGTCCACCTGCATTAAACGTACCCAGAGCAGTGGGTCAGCAGCGTCCAACCTGCTCCCCTCAGCCCGACAGCCTAGGCCCGGCGCGCTGAACTCACGCGCTGCCCCTCAGCTAGCAAGCATTTGACTCAAACCTCACCCGTACGAATTTTTGTGGTTCACAGAAAGCATACCGAACAACTTCAGTAAATCTTTAGGTCGTTGTTTTACTATATCGGACAAAAACCTTTAACTTAAATATTGTATAATCAATTTTACTGCAAAAAAAATTAACTTATCTTTAAAGTTTAAGATTTAGGGGCTAATTCAATTAGTTTTTTCCAGATTTCAACTTCTGCCATTTCTACTTTGTTTGATAAAGAGATGGGCCTAGGTTAGGCCTAGACGCTGAGGGAGGTGTGTACCACAGATCTGGAGCTAGGAACTTAGGTCCCAATTAACTCCCCGTGTGAATGAGCAAAACCATTCTGAGCTTCCTCATCTGTAAAATGAAAGGTTGGCCAAAAAGACCTGGAAGATTCCTTGCAGCTCTAAATCCCGTGACACCCGAATTTGTCTGTTGCTGGGAAAAGATTGTTTGAAGTCTGCAGCACTCAAGCTGCTTTTAAAACTCTGTTCAGCAGGCAGTCCATCTCCTTTGGAGCATTAGGTCCAAGGGTATATGTGTGTGGGGGGGAGGGGGGGTGTTTCTTTTGAGGGGAGAGACGCTTCAGAAGTTACCAAGTGAAAGGAGAATTACTGTACAAATCGTTACAGCATGCAGGAAATCTCTCAACAATAGAAAATACTCATTAGCCAATTCTACATTCAAAATGAAATGGATAATTGCATCAGTTGTTGGATATTCCAAATATAGGAAAGTACTGCCCCCTATATTATCTGGAACTTTAACGTGATAGGGAGGTAGGAGGAAGGCAAAGAATATTTCACTTTAGCTTGGATAGATACTGCTACTATAGGCCCCGCTGAGTTGATATGTTAAGGGAGGGGCACGGGTATAAATCTTTCGTCAGCCGCTGCTTAACAGCTCATTGCCAATGCACGCATCAAACAGCAGTCAGATCTTACCCGGAATATATAAGGAACTGTTCTCTTGTCCGTGGACTTGAGAGCTATAAAAGCTATACTGTCGTACAAGGAAGTGTGGCTTAGAACGCAAGGACCGAATATCGCGTTTTCTGGGATGTCGCAGGTGGTGTAAACGCTGGTAAAAATATCCGTCAGACACTGCTGAACAGCCTTGGCATCTCCATCCCAGACGCCCCTTTGGACACCGGTGTCCTCCATCGCTTAAGACATACATGCATAGCAGGGGCAAAAGAAAAGTTACGCAAAGTTACCTACATGAACCAATGTATAGCCACTTGAATCTTAGAATCCACTCCTTCTTTTATGGTGCTGTTGCTTAAAAAATAAAGTAAAACGTGTCTCCTCTGAGTGAAGCCTGTTGTACTTTGATGTATTCAAGTAAATTGAGACTTTCGAATTTCAGGATGTGAACTGAAGCAGCAAAGGGGTGGGGGTGGAGGGGAGGGAAGCTGTGCAGGGCCGGACATAGGAAGAAATAGTCATATTTACATTAACCTACACAGAGCAAAGGTAAGTGAAGTTGAGAATGAGAGGAGAATAACGTAACTTTAATACAGCCTATTGATTCTCTCAAACTAAGAAAAAACTTCTAGTGGTTAAAATAAGGCTTATTCCTGCGGTCCTTATTCAACTCTGGAGCCAGAGACCTGATCTTTTTATTCCAAAAAGAGATCCAGGGCTGGAGAACAGGCTGTGGCGGAGGAGCATGGCAAATGGATTTCAAGTGGATTGTCAATGTCACTGATTTCATGTCAGCTAACCTTTAGCTCTAGTCTACAAGAGGGAACGTATGTCTGCTCATTACCATAATCCAGCACTTTCCCTCCGAGACTTTAATTAAAAGCAGCAAGCAGAGGTAATTATTTTTTACCTCGACACGCTTATTTATGGATGAGGGTGAATCCCAGTTACCTTGTTATACAAGGGGATAGATTCAGTCAAATGTGACTTGTGAAGTGTGCAGGTACAAGACAAACAAAGTATCCTAGCCTAGGAATACCATTTGTGCAGTGAGTTGCGAATGTTCGCTTCCCCAGACAGGACACTTTTTTTTTTTTTTTTAAAGATGTGCGGGGGTGGGAGTGGGGGCTGTGGTGAACTCTGCGTCGGTTGTGCTCTTAAGGGTAGGCTTTCCAGCTGTTAAACCTTTAGGAGCTTTTAAATCAGTCACTGATGGAGAGCTCTCTATTAAGCTGTCATATATGAACATCTCCCCTCCCCCCGAACACGCCAAAATAAAATGAGGTAGAATTTTTAAAAAGGGAAATCTTGGAAACATTGAAAAATGAAAAAAGATAGTTTTGAATCTTAAAGAGCCCCTTGGAGTAGTGCTGGTTTATTGTTATCTATCATACTGGGTGATTCTTAGGTTCCTCGGACCTGGCATTTCCCTAATTATTATCTCAGTGATAATATCTGTAATGTCAGTAGCAGAAGATATGGGGGCTAATTCTCTCCGGAGAAACCACTGATTAGAAATTAATATTATTAATGTCCATTTCCTCTTAATATTCATTAACCAATTAACTTCACAATTTGGTTTGGAGATAGATTTTTTTTTTCTCCCTATAGTTAACAACCATGACTGAAAGTTTGATTTGGTTAGCTTTTATTTTTTTTTTACATTTGCTTTCCTATGTTACCTCCGCCCCAGGAAAAATATAGGGAGGGAAATCCTTAAAAGAGAAAGTTCCTCTTTTAAATGGACAATAGCTCTTTCCTCCCTCATTTCCCTGTGGCTTTTTGAGATCTGGTTACAAATTAATGTAATTAAAAAAAAAAACTCCACAACTTTTTTTGTTCTTTAAAAAGCCTACTTCTATTCTCTCCTTTCATTTTGCTTCAATTCAACGTTTTAACCTCGAATTTTTCTCTCTTTTTAACAAGTCCCGTTCCCAGAAGCCTTTCATTGTGCTGGAGGTCGCCCCGTCACTTCGGGCAACAGCAGGGACGCAGTCATTAAAATGCAGTTTTACCTAACAATACCAGGAAAGGGTCCCCCGAACACCCAGGCTAATCATCACGCAGCCCGCCCGCCAAGCCCCAAGCCCAGAATCATCACAATAACCCGCTGGTGGGTATGCTGAAGAGAGCAGACAAGAGCAGAGGGCTTGCCTGCCCGCCTGCTCGCCAACCTGCCAGTTCCCTTACTCTTCCCTATGCCACTGATGAATTAAGATCTCAAAAACCTGCTCCGCTCTGATCTCTCTCTTTTTCCTCCCTTCTCGGATCCTCTTTCTGGGAACCGGATCCATGTAGAGAAAACCAGCCTCTCCAAGGCAATCGGGTTCCATCCCTTCTCTTCCACCGGCCCTGGCATTGTCTGCCGGTTGCCAAATCACCACCTCGGTGGCAAACCGCTTCTTTCCCCTTTCTCCCTTTTGTATAAAACGCATTGGTGTTGTAGGTCCCCAGCTCATCCCCACCCTACAATGCTTGAAATTTGGAGGAAAAAAATACTTCCCCCACCCACTCAAGCTGTGTCCCCTCGTCCCCCACCCCCCCACTCCAACAGACAGAAGCACGGACAACTACCACCAATGTAGATAGACTTACCAGGAATAAGGTCAGAATATAATCCCCAAACCAAGGATACCCGAAAAGGATAAAGGATAAAATCGACTCTCGCCTCCCCCTATCCCTAAGTGTCTATTGTATTTCCATGTCAGGAGACGTTGATTTTCCTGTCCTGTATGCCTTGTAAAGCGAAAGGGGGAGATAAAGAGAGAAAAGGAGGAGGAAAAAGGAGGAGGAAGAGAGAGAGAGAGAGAGAGAGAGAGAGAGAGAGAGAGAGAGAGAGAGAGAGAGAGAGAGAGAGAGAGAGAGAGAGAGAGAGTTGTACAGATGGACCCGATGCAGTGACTGACTGGCACACAGACACACACTTTTTGTTTGCTGCACATAATCTGCCCAATGACGCGTGACAGCCCATGTCCCCTCCCTTTAACTCTTTGCTCGGCGTTGCATTCCCAGTGGTTGTCCCCTCTCCTCTTTCCACCTCCCAGCTCTGCTCGCTACCTGGAGGTCCAGCACTTCCCTTCAGGAGTCGAAAAGCCTCTTGTGGGTGCTTAGATGCCATCTCTTCCTAGTGCTTCATCATTTTGGGTTGGGGGAGAGGGTGAAGGGAGGGAAAGGAGGAGAGAAATAAATTAATTTTATGGAAAATAACCATTCCCACCAAAACCATCACCAAAAAATAATTTTTTTAGGGGGGGAGGGGAGTCGGAAGTGTCGGTAGGTTATTGGTGTTCCCATTGGCACTTACGAAGCTCCCGCAGCAGAGCTGATGAGAGTACCGCCAAGGGTATCTGAAACAGTCGGCCACGGGTGATGGGCAGGGAAAGGGAGTGAGTGGGTTGGGTTAGTCCAACATTGCTCCCAAATCACTGACTGAGACTAGCTACGTTAGGGTTTGAGGAAGGGAACAGGAAGAACGCCAATTGCTTCTCTCAGGATTTCTCAGATATCCACTGCTCCGAATTTTCAGAGGGAAGAATAAACTTAAAAAAAAAAAAAAAAAGACACACCAAGTCAACTTTTCCATGGCCACTGGACCTCTGTGCCAGACCCGCTGAGAGTGGTGACAGAAGAGAAAAGGAGCAGGGTTATTCCAGAGGAGCAGGAGGGTGGGAGGAACAATTGGTGAAGCTTTGCAAAAGGGGTGGGGTGGGAATAATAGGATCTATCGGAACCCTAATCCTCTCCTGTAGATGGATAGAGCAAGAGATCCCAAGCGACGAAATTTTCAGATTACCAGCACCAGCCCCACCCCCCACCCCCAGCCCCTAATATCCACGAAGATTTCCCTGCGATGTCAAGCTGGGAATTCCTGAAAAGTAGTATGGACTCTGTGCTTTGAGAGTCTGTTGAGGGTAGGAGAAGGAGTTTAATTCAAAGGCTCACAGACGCTCTACTTCTCCAGGCCTTTGAATTCCTGAAAAGAAGCCACATTGGAAATCTCAGGAGCATCTTAACTGCTCTCTACCTCCTCCCTTCAACGTCATGTCCTATAGCTTTGGGGTGGTGGTGGTGGTGTGCTGGAAGAATCTTAAAGTGGACTGCTCGAATCTGTCCTTCAACATAGTTTTACTGTTATGGAGAGAGGCTGAAAGCTTTCTCTATTCCAGCCTTCTATTAAAGGAAAATAAGCTACTTGGTTGTTACAAAATTGGTCTCCTTAAACGTTGTGCCTATGGCCAAAAGTCACGAAGACGTACAGCAATTATCCATATAATTTCAGGGGACCAAATATTATAACTCCACTCTATAACATTTATAACACTTCACCAAAAAAAAAAATCCACTTAAAATTCTCACCTAGCAGGAATATTTGGTTCAAATTGACCAGGTACTGGCAGATTCTCAAGTCATTTTGGCTGGGCAGAGAACTTAAGGACAAAATACATTTCTTTAGTCAGACTCAGTTCAACCCATTCTCCTGTAATTGTTGGGGGTGGTGGCAGAGAGAAAGGATAGGTGGATTTCATTGAAGTCAATGAAATGTATGCACTGCGAAGATACATCAAATACATATGCACTGATAAAATGGAGTTGCAAATAGAGACAGGGATGGAAACTTAAAAAGAAGCAGTTAAGAGGAAGATCTGTATAGGGTGCTAGTTCAGTCCCTATCTCTGGCATTGCTAGGACTCTCTCTGAAGCTGAACACATGGGCAGTTTTCTGGGTCAGAGTGGCATTAGACTCATCTCCTCTTGGACGAAAAAAAATAAGGATTTCTTCTGAATTGAAATGATGGGGACTGATAGAATGTGGTAGAAGAGAGATCATTAGCTAATCTCTCTTCCTTTTGCCTCCCTTTTCCTAGTTTCCCATTTCTTCCTGCCCCCGACCCCCAGTCATCCGCTCACCAAGGCCAGGACTGATTCTGATCAGACTGCATCTTTGTGCTGCAGGGGAACTGAGTTGGGAAGCTTCTCTACTCGAAAGGAAGGACTCTGAGGTCATTCTGTTCCATTTGAGTCACAAACCAGAAAGTGGCAAAGGCCAGAGAGATCAGCACAGAGGACACTTTCCCTAAAGTTTTAAATTTCCTCCCCTTTAAAGAAAGCTTTCTTAAACTCCTTGAAAACCCAGATTCTTCTTTTCCTCTCACCTGTGTCTTCCACCTTTTCTGGTAGTACCTCCATCCTTTGCTAAAGAGAAATTAAAGGCACCCAGCAATGCATATACCCCTACCCCCCATATTTTCTCATTGAACTGATCAGGACACATCCCGACAAGCAGTAATGATGATAATTTTTACCAATTTTTCCTGCTCTATATCAATGAAAAGTTTTTC